CCCCCTCAAATGAAACTTGCCACAAATAACACAACAGCTCCCTTATGCGAGACTCTGCAGCGCACCCTGCTGGACAGGCTGCGGTCTTCTGTCTGTCTGCACGCAGCCTGCTGCTGAAACCCCTCTAGTAAGCAACCAATCAGCATTCAGTATTCAAACGAGATCCCGCTCCCTCAAAAAGACCTGCTTGCCAGCAACAGTGACTTTATCTGTAAAGTTGTGCAGGAAAGGAGCACAGTGTTTTGCTAACACTACAAAACAAGCACCAACGTTTCACAGGTCAGTAAAAGGTTTTAATTTTTAACAAATTTCGAGGGAGTTGGAAGCAGCTCCTTTATGTTAACCTTAACATGTCGTGCTGCGCAGCTTGGTGTGTTTCGGTTCAGTTAAAATAATCAGTTGAGCAGTTTTTTCCAAGTTAGCTGAACAACCACGATGTGTTCACTGGTAGTAATCACAAAAATAAATTTCAAGCCAGAAAAGCAAACTGTTACAGACTGAATATTCTTTTCTGTGTGTGGGAAACGTTTGCGTTTTTGGCGCTGAATCTTAATGCTTAACGCTACGGATCTGCGTGTAAAGCAACGATTCGGTGCATCTTTAACGTTCTAAGGTTAAAGGCGTGGAAAAAATTTAAATGGATGTTTTTCACTAATTTTGAATTTCCCTTTATATTTTCACCTTAAGATCACTCAGTCCTACCTGGCACCGCACATGAGCATGGCTGCAAAACTGAGCGGTAAGAAAATGTTTTTGATGCGTTCAGTTTCTAAGCAAAATAACTTACTTTAGACATAATGTTATGCTTGTGAAATATTTTCAAAATATTAATTCAGTTTGATATTGTTGTTTTTAAAGAAGTTTTTGTGAATGTTTGACAGTTGTCATGAAGTGTCATTTTGTAAACAATGAAACTTTTAACGCAAAGTTGCTCTAAAAGTTGCATTAAAAGTGCCAACTTTGCATGATTTTGTAAATTATGATAATTTAATGCAAAGTTGTCATTTTACCCCAATCCCATGAAGATTATATTTATTAACAATGCTAATGTATTAGGGGTTGCACCAACGACTAGTCGATTCTTTACTCTGCAATGACTTTTACAGGCGGTCAGTCCACTACTTGCAATCACGTGACAAAACTAATTTTTCCAAGATAATGAAAGATCAACTACGAGTTTCTCAGACAGCTTGTACTGTATAAAAATGTAAATAATTCATCAAAGAGATACTGCAGACTTTAGCAAAAACTACCACAATAGGGGCGCTATGTAGGGGGACCCCAGAAACACAGACTGTAGACCAGTGAGACCCAAAGTGGGTCCTGGAGGCTGGAATCCTGCATGTGTTGGTTCTGTGTAGGATTTTTGACATTTTTAACTGTATACAACATTCTGACTGTATTTCATCTAATGATGAAAATTGTATGATGTTAATAAATTATACACTTTAACTCTGAACTAAATGTGAATGGTATTATTCTTATGCTGTCTAGGAAACTTGTACATCATTATTAATAAAAGATAATTAACTTCACATTGTCTGGCTGTGTTTGTAAAAGCATATTTTTCCTTAAAATAAGCTAATCTGAAATGGATATCAGCAAACAGAATCTTCTGCTTTGCTCTTAAGGCTGAACTTCTTATACTCTTAAAATTTAAGAGCATGTGGAGTTTGGACCAGGCATGTTTTCTTTGGGCCTACAGGGATTTTCTCAGAGTGCTCCGACTTCCTCTGGACCTGCAAAGAGTTGCAGGTTAATAAGCGATTATAAATCTTAGCAATATGAATGAGTTTATNAACTGCTGGGCCCAGGATCAGGTCACTCCAAACTTTTCTTTGAGGTTCCAGAACTCAAATTTTCAGAGAGACGTCTCTCCACTGGCTTTTTTGTAGAAATGCTAAAAACCACTTCCTTCCCTTGAATAGTTACTTTGTTTCTTTAGGCACGAAAAAGAACAAAAATACCACTACCTTCCGATAGTTGCTTTCTTTATTTTCTCTCTTGGAGGTGAAAAATAATTTAAAATACCCAATCTCTGCCTTTTAGATACTTTCTTTCGTTAAAAGTGAAAAATGATTAAAAATACCCACAATCTGCCTTTTCAATAGCTACTTTCTTCACGTAAAGGTGGAAAAAGAATAAAAACACCCACTATCTACTCTTTAGATAGTTAACTTTAGTTCACTAGCAGTCAGAGCCTGTCCCAGGAAATATGAAGAAAAAAAATAAATAAACAATTGAAAGAGTTCTCACCCGATAAATTTATTGAGGTTCTTTTGGATCCAGTCGGTCTGCAGTCGCAGAGACGAGATCTCGGACTCCCTCGTTCTATTTGGAAGTGGACTGAAGACAAACTCCTCAGGTTGGTCGATGCATCCGATCTCCGGTCGCCCTCAACCTCTCCAACTCGCTGGATCCTGTTTGTGACCCCAAAGTCCATTCCAATCACATAGTTTGATAATCTACTTGGTTACAGGACAGACAGCAGACTGGACAGCAGGCACACGTGTCTTCTTCACTAAGAGCCAGGACAGACAAAAGAACAATTCAATGACTTCCTTGTAATGTTAAGGCCAGAGGACCTGCTTCAGAAGACTCTTTCATGAGCTAATGCATCACACAAGGATCTTAATACTGCTATGCAATGATTCAGCTAATAATCATAGTAACCTTAAAGTTTCCCACTACAAGATCCACCATAAGCAAACGAAGCAGCCACTTAGGGCCCCAAGGCCACTAAAGAGCCCCCTCAGTGGAGTTGATTTTTTTTTTAAGTAATAATTTATGTAATTATAAAATCAAAAACACACAATTTCAATATGAAGTGATTTGTTTTTACAAAAATATATAGTTTAAAAAAATCTATGTTTCTATATATCCATGTAGAAATCGTTATTTTATGGATTAAAAAATAAATAAATAAATTGCTCTTGGGGCCCCCTGATGGCCGCGGTCGGAACTGCACGCTTCACCGGTAATTTGAGCTGCCGTTGAGCTTCCCAACGTCCAAAACTCCGGTCAGAAGTTTAGTGAGCAAAACAATGTCTCAAAAAGGACTTATTCTTCAGGGAGGGAGAAAAGAAAGAGGAAGAATAGAAAACAGCCAACATAAAGGTTTGTTTTAATGTGCCTCGGTAATGTAATATAAAAGTTAGTAAAGCTGCTAATAGTAAATTAGCTTGATAGCGACCTGGAACGGTCCAGTTCAACAGCCAAACATTTATGCTAGGGTCTTTGTGTTTGTGTGAAACTGAGTTTTAACTTTAAATGAGTTGATTCTCATGGTTGGCTCTGTATATTTCTGAGGTATTTTTGGCTTCAAAACGCCGTGTTTGATAACGTTTGATAACAATAATTAAAACTTCTCAATGTTTGACATTGTCTAGCAAAATGTTTTTACTTCAGGCTACATAGCTGGTACATCGATGAGCTGCTCTATGCTGTAGTTGGAGATATGTTGTTTGCTGCTGAGCATAATCATTTTGTGGCTAAAACAAACATTATTTTTACATCAACTTCTAAGTTATGTAGAACTTCTTTTAAAATCATTGGAAGGCTCAGAATCAGTCCAGTACCGGTACCAGTCCACATTCTCTGGGGAGAAATCCTTACCTGGTATAAATAAATTGCTCAGACCTGACCACCTCCACCGTGTGTCATGACAGAAGGACACGACCAAAAGTAACTATGGTGAGGAACGCAAAAAAGGAAAAAAATAAAATAAAAATCTCCAGCATGGACCTTGCACATTGGAATGAGTTAGTATCTACAATTAAGGACTACGTGGAGATTGTGGCAGAATCATACTTGGCCATCAGACTCCTTGGTGCTGGAGGACTGGTCCCACCATCTCCCGTCCCTGGGGTTGGTGGAGCTTGTAGTGGGAAACTTTAAGGTTACTTTGATTATTAGCTGAATCATTGCATAGCAGTATTAAGATCCTTGTGTGATGCATTAGCTCATGACAGAGACTTCTGAAGCAGGTTCTCTGGCCTTAACATTTTTTCCCCTCACATTTGCTAGGACAGGCTCCGACTGCTAGTGGACTAAAGTTAACTATCTAGTACAGATAGTGGGTGTTTTTAATCTTTTTACACCTTTACGTGAAGAAAGTAGCTATCTAAAAGGCAGATAGTGGGTATTTTTAATCGTTTTTCACCCTTAACGAAAGAAAGTATCTAAAAGGCAGATAGAGGGTATTTTTTATTATTTTTCACCTCCAAGAGGGAAAGTAAAGAAAGTAACTATCGGAAGGTAGTGGTGTTTTTGTTCTTTTTTCCGTGCCTAAAGAAACAAAGTAACTATCCAAGAAAGTGGGTGGTACTGTAAGATTATGCCTGTCAAAAATGGGAATTGATTTTAAGGAACTTGTTTAGTTATTACAGCATACAGAATACCAGTACTGTGTTGCCTCAATTTATAATTTTTACAAATGGTACTTCAAAGGCTGCATGCTTGTCTGTGCAAGTTGTTCAGTATATTTTGATTGTTATACATTTTTAAGACTGCAACAAAGGAGTAGGAAAATACACATACATTTTTTTTAAAATTTTAATATACTTTCAAACTGCCTTGACAGTACAAGGGAAATAAATCCTTAAGCAATAATTGCTTCTTCTGGATAAATTATTTTTGCATTACTTGTTATTCATAAAGGATGAAATCTTCAATGGGATTCCTTGGGAAATATGATAAATAAATTTCGGGTAAAGGTGCCCCCTCAAATGAAACTTGCCACAAATAACACAACAGCTCCCTTATGCGAGGCTCTGCAGCGCACCCTGCTGGAGAGGCTGCNGTGCCCCCTCAAATGAAACTTGCCACAAATAACACAACAGCTCCCTTATGCGAGGCTCTGCAGCGCACCCTGCTGGACAGGCTGCGGTCTTCTGTCTGTCTGCACGCAGCCTGCAGCTGAAATCCCTCTAGTAAGCAGCCAATCAGCATTCAGTATTCAAACGAGATCCCGCTCCCTCAAAAAGACCTGCTTGCCAGCAACAGTGACTTTATCTGTCAAGTTGTACAGGAAAGGAGCACAGTGTTTTGCTAATGCTACAAAACAAGCCCCAACGTTTCACAGGTCAGTAAAAGGTTTTAATTTTTAACAAATTTCGAGGGAGTTGGAAGCAGCTCCTTTATGTTAACCTTAACATGTCGTGCTGCGCAGTTCGGTGTGTTTCGGTTCAGTTAAAATAATCAGTTGAGCAGTTTTTTTCCAAGTTAGCTAAACAACCACGATGTGTTCACTGGTAGTAATCACAAAAATAAATTTCAAGCCAGAAAAGCAAACTGTTACAGACTGAATATTATTTTCTGTGTGTGGGAAACGTTTGCGTTTTTGGCGCTGAATCTTAATGCTTAACGCTACGGATCTGCGTGTAAAGCAACGATTCGGTGCATCTTTAACGTTCTAAGGTTAAAGGCGTGGAAAAAAATTAAATGGATGTTTTTCACTAATTTTGAATTTCCCTTTATATTTTCACCTTCAGATCACTCAGTCCTACCTGGCACCGCACATGAGCATGGCTGCAAAACTGAGCGGTAAGAAAATGTTTTTTGATGCGTTCAGTTTCTAAGCAAAATAACTTACTTTAGACATAATGTTATGCTATGTGAAATATTTTCAGAATATTAATTCGGTTTGATATTGTTGTTTTTAAAGAAGTCTTTATGAATGTTTGACAGTTGTCATGAAGTGTCATTTTGTAAACAATGACACTTTTAATGCAAAGTTGGCATTTTACCCCAATCCCATGAAGATTATATTTATTAACAATGCTAATGTATTAGGGGTTGCACCAACGACTAGTCGATTCTTTACTCTGCAATGACTTTTACAGGCGGTCAGTCCACTACTTGCAATCACGTGACAAAACTAATTTTTCCAAGAAAATGAAAGATCAACTACGAGTTTCTCAGACAGCTCATGTTGTATAAAAACGTAAATAATTCATCAAAGAGATACTGCAGACTTTAGCAAAAACTACCGCAATAGGGGCGCTATGTAGGGAGACCCCACAAACACAGACTGTAGACCAGTGAGACCCAAAGTGGGTCCTGGAGGCTGGGATCCTGCATGTGTTGGTTCTCTCCCTGGTGGTAGTAAGAACCATTTCAGCAAGTCAATATTCTTAGGCCTCATGAGCCATCATTTGATCCAGGTGTGCTAAACCGCTGCTGACAAAGATCTGTCTCTTGTACTTTTATTCCTGCATAATAGACTTAAAGGGTTTTTTGTCAATATTTGCTGTGAATATGATGGCCTCTAAGTTGATATGAAGTATTTTTGAAATGGTTCTATGACATCACTGCAATGAGTCCGACTTCTACTTGACTTTTATCATTTTATAGTCTACCTTAAAATATATGAAGTACATCAACCCATAATACAGTGGTTCTTAACCTTTTTTGAGGCACCGAACCCCCCAGTTGCATATGCGCATTCACCGAACCCTTATTCCACCCCTCCCTCCCCGACACACAAAATACTTTGCGGTATTCTGATTTAGTAATGTAATTATATTAACTGTGTTACCACCCCCACACCACTAGAGGCAGTACCAACCCCGAAAAGATGCGACTAAGAAGCAGATTTAGACTATAGAATTTGGTAAAAACGGTGAGTTTTGCTGAAGTAATTAAAGACACAAGTTCAAATCCCTGCTGACAGTGGAGCTCCTTCAATCAGTGCTCCTCCGCAGCTCTGATTTGCTCAGCAATGTAATGTGATCCTCTTCAGCAAAGCGGGGCATCATCACGACTTTACACAAGTGTGTCTTTACCTCCGCGGCAAAGGCTCCTCGAACCCCTGAGACCGACTCATCGAACCCCTGGGGTTCGATCGAACCCAGGTTAAGAACCGCTGCCCTAATAATAATAATAATAATAATAATCACACCCCCTTAACATTTCCGCCTGCCCCCTCGTGTATCCACGGCCAGAACCGGGCCTGCTCTCCACCCATGTATATATTCAAGTTGCGTTTCAGTCTGGGGGCACTAGGACCTGAGCTTGGTGCAGCCACAGAGATCTTCCAGTCTTTAAGAAGTTTCTCACTTTCTTTCTGAACAATTTTCAAGCAAGTGCAAGGCTCAGATAGGAGTGCTTGGATTAAAATGGTTTTTCTGCTCTTGGAGTTCTGTGAACGTGGACATACAAACTGGGATATTTTTCCGGAAGCTTCAGGAATTCTACATCTATGGGAGAAGATACTTTAAAGGTAGGTGGATTAAACTTTCATTTACAATGCATGAATGTGGCATTACACTGTAAAAATAAGCAACCAAAAATCTCATCATTGAGTAAGCAAACCATTTAAGATTTTAAGCTTTAATACACATAACATTTTGTTATGGAAACTGGCATTGAAAGGAGAACGCTTACTAGAAAGGCTACTGTTAAAGCCTGCAGACAGCTATCTCCCCTAATGAGTCAGAGATACTCTCTACTTGGATGAGAAGGGCTTTAATAGAGTCCACCACATTTAGGAAAGGTGAATCTCCAAGCATTGAAACAGGCCTGTTCCTGAGCAGTATTGTCTCTTTCAATCGAAGCGTCCCTGCAGGCTGCTGTATTTTATCATTCTGTGGTGAAAATTACTGCAAGAACACACACATTCACGTTATGCAAACTCCAAGTTTACAAACTCATCCAAGTTCAAATTCAACCATCCATGTGTGATTTCTGCTTGTTTGGATAATTTTAATAATTTGACTTGATTTTTAATCCTACTTTTGATGTCTTCCTCTGTTCTAAGAAAGGGACGCATGTGCAGCGGGTTCAGGAGGAATCTGGCTTCTATTTCTCTCTCAGCTGCAGAAATAGTTGACTTTACTGTTTCAACAGCAGCGCTGATTCCAGAAATCAGTCAGATGGTCTAGTCTCATACTGAAGTAAGAAGTAAAAATGAAATAGCATATCTGGAAGTGAGAACAACCATTTCTCCACTGGGACCATCAGTGAAGGCCAAACTATTTCTCCATCATCATATTTGGAAAATCGTTGAGACTTCCTTTTCTCTTACATTAATTATGTCCAGTCTCATCATCTGTTCAACCGTGCCTCTGTCTTTTCTAATGTAGCTCGCTCCTGTACAGTTTGACACTGAAGCATTTGCCTCTGGATGGAATTCACTGTCCAGTCAACACATCAACAAAATTACGGCCCGTTTACTTTAGCCTGTCAACACGTGCGATGTTTAGATCCTGCCACTGCTGCATCTTCCTGTCCATGAATGTGTGTCCATAGAAACAACAAAGTAAAGATGAAGAAACTGTTAATTGGGAATTCCATCCTTCAATTATGACGTGAAAGTTTCAAAAAGAGGACATACGATGCAGAGATCATAATATCTAACTTTACTGACAGTCCTCTATGGTCTTTTAGACTGTTTTTGACAAGTAGGAATATAGTAACAGGGATCCAGTTTTGTTCCGAAGTAACATTTAAAATTGTATATATTTGTTATGTAACAAGCAAACCTCAGTGAAATGGCTTCTGCTGTTTAGGCTGCACCCTAAACAAAAAGCAACAGAGGAAAACTGTCATTTTATCCAATGTTTAAAAAGAAAATAGAAACAAACTACGTTTATTTTGGAATGTTTTACTCCTTGCTATTTTAATTTGTAAATGACTCCGTATGGTGAAACACCATCATTTACATTTTGTCCATGTAGGTCAATTCTATACCTTTACAAAACACTTCAAAATTAGCACTTAGCAATATTTATTTCAAAAATTTAGAACTTTTGTGTCTTTTACATTAATGCAGCACATCTTAGTAAGGAAGATGTGTGTTGATTGAGAAAAAATCAGAAAACATCAACTAGAAAATGAATTATTGTACTTCATGTTCTTATGACCATGATTATTAACAATATATCCCAACGTCTTGACAAAAGGCTGGACTTGAAATGAGACAGTAAAGTTGCACACGAGGGACAGCGAGAGGCCGATCTATAACTTTTGTTGCATTAAGCACAACTGAAGAAGCTGATTATC